CTCAGGATGAGCACACCACAACGCGATAATCATCAATCGTTCTACTTGTTCTTGTTCGAAATCCATGTTTAATTTCTCATCAACAACAGAAAGAAGTTTTCCTTTTTCATAAAAATCCCAAACATACTCTACTAATCCTGCATCACATTTCCCTGTCCCTGGATCAACTGATTTTCTTCCTGTTGCAATTTCTAATGCAACTATTCCGAAGCTGTATACATCCGACTCTTTGCTTGCTCGTCCTGTTTTTATGTATTCCGGAGCCAAATAACCTAAAGTTCCAGCTAGTCCTGTAGTCTGAGGACCTAATTCATGGTCCATTAGTCTAGCTAGGCCAAAATCACCAAGCTTGACATTAAAACTTGAATCTAGCATTATGTTGCTTGATTTTATGTCTCTGTGGATCACACATTGTTCCCATTCTTCGTGTAGATAGAGCAACGCGGATGCTAAACCAAGTGAAATCTTGTACCTCATAGTCCAACTAAGAGGATTCTTTTTACCGAACAAATGAAATTCTAAGCTACCATTTGGCATGAATTCGTAAACAAGTAAGAACTCACCTTGATCATGACACCAACCGATTAGTTGCACAAGATTTCTATGCCTTAATCGACTAATAACCTTCACCTCGGTTATGTATTCCTTTTTCCCCTGCTTAGATCCTCTCGAGATCTTCTTTACAGCAACCGCTATGTCAAGATCGATGAGGTACCCTTTGTAAACTTCTCCAAATCCTCCTTCGCCTAATTTTCGTTCCTCTGAATAATGATTAGTTGAAGTATCTAACTCTTTGTACGAAAACTTTCTTGGCCCTGCCCCCTTTTCAAGATCATCATTGAATGATGTTAAGCTTATTGTCTCTGGATTTCCCTTCACCTTTCGTCTACATTTTCTCAAAACTACCAAAGCCAAAATCGCGCTCACAAACAAAATCCCACCTAATGTTATTAGCCCTGCAATCAGTCCAATCTTTTCGCGATCATTTCCACCTAACTCTGTTATATCAAGACTCGAGCTGAATTCCCACGATTCAAGTGTATGTCTCTCGACATTTTGTCCTGTTGCAGCAGAGAATCCAATTGTGACCCATGGAGGCAGAACATCTCTGAGGTTTATTATGTAAAACATGCTCGAATTCGGGCCTGTCCCATAGTTCCAAATGACACTAAGATTATTTGTTGTAGCATTGTAAGTAATCCATGTCTCAATAGGATCACCACTATGTAAACTAACATTCCAAGGAGTTGTCACAGATGAAGCAATTGAATTGTTATTGATACCAACGTGCTCGAATGGAGGATCCCATTCGTCGTTGGAAAATGAGTCAAACTCAACAGAAACAATTTGGCTTTGAGCTGAATCACTAGTGGTTGTATTGAACAGTCCAAGAAAACCACCATCTGAGTTAGGTGGAATTCGAAAACCAACTGGAGCTAGGAAAAACGCGATACCATGACCATATAAAGAACAATTTTGAGTATCTATAGTGAACGAAAAACGTGTGGAGAAATCAGCTAGCTTTGTGGAGTCATGATCAGGATCCCAAAGTGGAACCTTCTCTCTATAGATGGCATGAGCAACGCGACATAGATAGTTCGCTTTGTTAAACTCGATCTCTCCTACAGACGCGACTGCATCTCCTTCGTAGAGTATGTCAGTCACGTCTGGTCCAAATCGAGATATTTGAAAGGACACTGAATTCACAAATGGAATCAGAAAGAAGGCAATGAAGAGAGCTATGCAACATACATTGGAAGGCATAATTATCATTGGTAAATTGAATGGGAAAAATGCTTGAACATAAATGTTTGTATTGAATAAGTTACAAGAGTATAACGAATCGAACTGAGAAAGGGCTTGAATTTTAGTGGATAACTATAGTTTTTACTTGAGGTTATGCATAAACAATGTTAATAGTCTTCTTCTTGATGATAAGGTTTAGCTACCAACTTAATTTTATAATTATAAGAAACTTTATAATAAGGACTAAGCCGGCAATCTTCTACCTTAAACAATGGAAGCTCCAACTAACCAACTATAATAAGTTAAAGTTAGATTGTGACCTAAAATATTTTTAAGCTTGAAAAACTACCTGAATTTCAAATCGTGTCCCCACAAACATGAACATATTTACTAAGGTAGCCTTAATTGTGTATTGAAAGTCAACTCTCATTTTTTTATGTGACTTGACAAGATTATAGAGAAAGCAATCAATAGAATTTGTTATCTGGTGTTGACTTGAAGCGATCGTGTGTTGCCTGTATTTTCTTAGTGGGGTGGTCGAGTTCATTGCTCACGCAAGTGTACGTGATCAACAAATAATATAATAATAAAAAAAATATTGTTACTAGTCCAGGGACATACCCACCCTTACTCTTGACACCCTTCTCTGAAAATTACATTGTATATGAATGTCAAATTTTGATTTAAATAAATATAGGCATAATACATAAACAGAATTCTTAACTTGGCTTCAAATTATAACTTTGACAGTGCACAAAGAGGCACGTTAACTATTCAATTCCTAAACAATAAAACACTCGAATTCTACCTGGCAAAATGCATGATATGCACTCAATCCGCACGCGTCAGAAGTAAATTTCGAGGTCCACAACGGTAAAAAATATGTTGAAATGACAATTATACCCTAAATGAATACCTTTTATATATACCTTTATATTTTCAAATCAAAATCTCATTTTTGTTCACTTCTTTCTAATTCTAGTACTGAAGCTTTTTTTCTCTCTTTAGCACGATTGTTGCTTGTTTTTAATGCAAATGACTCCTTATTTTTTTGTCATCATGGAAAAAAGAGCTCTAATAAAGATTTCTTGCTCTGCAAATAATCCATATGATTAAAGCTGTAAAAGGAACGAATTTACAGTCATGGTGAACAAAAGATTCTACATTCTATCAAAAATAAACTTTCAAAATAGCAAGATTAGCTATATCTGGACTAAATTGAGGAAGATGAACAGATAAACATCCAAGTATATGAGCTTTCAACACTTTTCCTTTGATTCACAAAGAAATCTTGCTAGGGTTTTGCGATTTTGAGAGAGAACTGGGTGAAATTGGGGAGTCTTTCACCCTAACCCCAGTATATTAGTGGCATATTAACTTAGGTTTTAAAAAAAATATATTCTAAAATCTACGTGTAAATTTTTTAATTAGTTGGCAGTCATTGAGTGGCTCACTAATCCACGTTAGAGCGTTTGCATATCACGTTGTTTTGGATGCAACATTCGAGTTTTTTTTGTTTAAGAGTTGGATAGTTAATGGTTTAGTCTAGTGATTAAGGTCTTGTGAAAATTCTTTGAGGTTGTATGTTCTAGTCCTACTAGCGTCATAACAAGGTCCCCTACTCATTGCTATGCAGACTTTCTCGATTAACTTTTAGAATTAATTAATTATCGTATAGAGTGGAGAAAGTAGTGCCATAATTCTTTGTAACTCATGTAACCATAATGACACATTCTCCTTATTATCTCCTACTAATTTTTCCACTATTCCTCAAATAACTATCCACATTTTTGTCATTTATTTGTGGAAGAAATCCTAGTTATATAAATGATGTTTTCTTCGTTGTGTTGTATTAGATGAAAAGGATGAGAAGTTGATGAGAAATATTATATTGTGTTTATATTTTGAGTTTTGTGTAGTGAAAGAGCGATGGTTGAGACAAGGAAAAATATTTCAGGACTTCAACTTATTCACTATAAAAAAAAAGTGAGTAATTTTGTGCTGAAGAAATGCATTCTTATGATGGAGTTTTGGACTCTTTAACAAATCCGGAGTTGTTTGAGTTATACGACATTGTTGAGTTGTTGTATCTTGTAGAAGGTAAGTCAAGAAATATATTATTAGATCAGTGTAGATTATATCATAGTGACCTTGAATCTCCTTAAAAAGAATGAGATATCAACACCTCATTCTAAATACTTATTCATTCAATTTTGTTCAAATATTTTTTTAACTACTACTAATTTATCATAATTTATAGTATATTCACCGACATAAATTTTTTTGCAGTAACTCTCGAGTTCATTTGTAGATGGTATTCAATTATTGATCAAGCAATCACATAATAAAGTGCATGATAAAATAACTAAACCAATGTTGATAATCAAAACGATAACATAAAGCTTCAAGCTATAATGTTCATATATAATCATCCTGCAACCCTAGAATTAAAAAAAAAACCTAGTCAATCAGCAGTGAATTAAAAAAAATCTAATAAATCATCAATGGCGGACCTAAAATTGTCACGAAGCGGGTTCGAGATATAAAATAAAATAGACAATGTTGGAAGCTAGAATCAAACTTGGGTTGGCTGGACCGAATGAACCCTCTTCACTGCTAGGCTAAGCATCACACTTGTGCTAAATGGAGTCAAAATTCAATATACACCTATAAAATTTCAAAAAACTAATTTTATATATATATATATATATATATACATGGTGTTATTTTCAATGAAGTGGGTTCATATAAAGTCACTTGACCCACTGTAGATCCGCCCCTGTCAATCATGCTTGTGACAAAAACACAAGTCATAGCTAACATTATTCAACTATAAAAATAGAAGAAAAAAAGAAATAAAAAATAGAAAGTGTGAATCCCGTTACATGATTCACTAGTCTTCCTTGTCATCTTCTCAAGGGCTAGATGGGCTTGCATCGTTGTATTGAATCTTCAATGAACCAGGATAATCTTGCGAGTATAACTCGTGGTTGTGCTCGATCCTATTTTTGCTCAGTTGAACCTGATTAGACTTTAACTATCATACGTCACCTTCTAATACATCCAAATATCAAACCCGCATTTTGACACATACAAAAATCATTAATTTTTAAAAAGACAAAATCATTAATTTTTTACAATAACTTGCAATTAGAGATGCTTGCCTTTGAAGAAAAAAAAAAATAAGGTAATCACTATCTCCTCCATTTTTTTCTTAACCTACAACGTGAGTGAGTAGTAGCCAAAACAAAGGGGGAAAAAAGTAAACTTTGCAGAATTGTTTGTTCTCCTTCGGCATCTCTCTCTCTCTTTCTTCTCCGTTGATCGGAAAGCAATTACCAGAAATGGCACGAGCCGGAGGAATAACAAATGCGGTGAATGTAGGCATAGCAGTACAAGCAGATTGGGAGAATCGTGAATTCATATCTCACATCTCCCTCAACGTCCGTAAACTCTTCGATTTCCTCGTCCAATTCGGTAAATTTCTCTGACTCATTCAATCTCCTTAGGGAAAATTTTTCGTTTTTGTTAAATTCCTGTTTTTAAAGCGATTTCGGGGTTAATTTTGTTGTATTTTCAGAGGCGACGACGAAGAGTAAATTGGCGACACTGAATGAGAAGCTTGATACACTGGAACGTCGTTTGGAACTACTTGAAGTCCAAGTCAGTACAGCAACTGCTAATCCAGCTCTGTTTAATGTTTGAAATGATGCAGCATTGTACTAATATTCTCTAGCTGTAAGCTACTTTAATTCTGTATTATAAATAGATTGCTTTGTTTTGGAGATCATATCTGTGAAAAGTCCTTGTTTTATGAAAATCTCAATCAAATGTTCCCTAATTAGTTAGGTTAGCTATATGAATTTGTGTGAAATTCGGCTCTATTCAAGTACATTATGTTCGGATAGTTAATAATCTATCGCAGTTTTTGTGGAAATGATTCATGGAATTTAGTAGCTGAATGTATGCATACCTATTGGATCTACAGTTTCTTTCGTCTAATTTTTCAGTTCGCTAAAACTACTATGCTCTTGAGTTGGTTCATTGCCAATGCACGATGGAGATTGTATATGTGGAAATTGGAATGATAAGTTGATTTGAGGGGTCAAAGCATTACTATAAATTCTTCAAGACCATCTTAGTCTTTTGAACTAGTTAATATGAAGCAAATGTTCTTTATACCTTCTGTAATGCCGTTTCAATATTCTTGCCTGTTTTCTTCATATGGCTTCTTGGAACTTTAATCTGCTGGATCTCAGTCTCTTATTTTTCTCTTTGAGTTGGTTCTTTGCTTATGTGTGATGAGATTGTATATGTGGAAATAGGAACTTTGTGCTTGTTCATTTATAAAAGTTACTTTACCTTCTCTAGAAAAAAAATGATCGTTTTACCTTCTCATTTTTTTCTACTCACTTGTTATGTAATACAATCATGTGAAATGTCATTCTTGTAGTCGGTAACCAATCAACGATGCTTAAACTAAAACTAGTTGTGCCATCTATGTGAATCCTCTTATCCATCCTGCTTCTTTGTAATACTAAAAGAATTATCTTTTGAACTAAATTAAGAGGTTTCCAGATCATACTTGGACATAGAAGCTTTAACTAGGACTTCATCACTTGTAGCAGTTTTTAATACGTCCTTCGTTCCAATTTATGTGGCATTGTTTGACTGGACACAGAGATTAAGTAATTAAAAAGACTCTTTGAAGTTGTAGTCTAAAACAAGTCAGAGATGTGTCTAGCTTTAAATCCTCATAATGGGTAAAATCGAAAGTTTAACGTTAAATAGTTTCTAAATAAGGAAGTATGACATTCTGTCTAGGACAGACTAAAGGTGAAAGTAGACACATAAATTGGGACAAAGGGAATAATCATTTCCAACACAGAGTTTAACATAATGAAAGGTTGGACACGAGAAAGAAATAGCTTGCTGGCCATATACCATGCAGCTATATTCCAGACTGGTTATTGTTAACATGGTTGATTTATCTATGAAGGGTTACTAGGTATTGACTGCTAGAGCTTACATGTTTTTCCCTTGCCTTCTTCATACTAGCCACCAGGCTCGTAGCTTAGATTGAGCACTGTTTATTTACAAAATTATAAGATTATGTTAAATGTTTAATTTGTAATGGACTTATAGGAGTATAGTAATAAGTTTTATTTCTAGTTGGAAGTTGGAGTATGTGGAAAGTGAACAAGTCCATTAAGAAGATCTGGCAGATGACTCAGCTCGTAATCTTTGGTGTCTATGCGCAGAAAGGAACAAAAGATGTTTTGATGGGACTTCAACTCCTAACTGGTCTCTTAAGTCCAAGTGTTTGATAAATCTTTTTAGTAAGAGCAACCTATCCCCTGTAAATGGTATCATTCCCCTTTAGATTGTATCAGCTCCCTCTCAGTGGCTTAGCAGCCTTGAGTTCTAGTTTCTTTTATCTGAGATAATTCATTCGCAACATAAATCTCAGATCTCTCAATCCAAAGACACCTTGAATCAAGTTACTTTCTAATCATCTCTTCAACTTGATCGAATTGCTTTCTTGTCTATCAGACATATCTCATTTTTACGAAGACATGAAACTTGTGTTTTCAGACCTCATTGACCTGTTGTATCACTGTTACTTTGAGTGCTGAAAGCTCGTGTATTCCTGAAATGAAAGGGTTTCCAGGGCAATGAGTATTCTCATTCCTTCCAACTTTATTTGTTCCCTCCATATTTGATTTTGGGATCTTTACACAAATAGCCAGTTTACTTTTCCTAAGCGCTACACATATATTATCCACGGTTATACATGAATTAATCATATATTATACATCTGCCGGCTATTTTTAGTCTAAGCAGTTGGGTGGACAGTTATTTAGGTTAATTCTTCTATTTTCTTTATTTTGATCCTATGGAATTTAACACCCTACTTGCTGAATAAAGAAGCTAAAAGTTTAACACCCTACATAGATGTATGGTGCCTGGAAACTTTGACATAACTTACTCTGTCCATCCTTCTTCTTTATGTTAACTACGCGTCAATTCCAAACTAGTTGAAGTTGGTTATATTAATCCTTAATAGCTTCTGAGGATTCATCATATAATGACTAGTTTCTTGCTGGCCGTCAACCTACCGTAACTCTCTTCCTTTATCCGAGTTTTCGACTTGCAACAGGACAAATTCTCACAGGCTGGGTTATTTATATACTGCATAAAAAAGCTGCTGAGTTTATTTAGAATTTCAACTTTCCTTTTGATGGTTCATTAAGTTCAGTGTCCTAATTCAAACTAGCTATTGTTGCAATTCTTGTTTACAGTTTAGGCATCTCGCCATCTCCTACTAGTGAAATTTTATTTCCCTCTAGCAATTATGAATGATCTATGTTTTCACGAGATGCTGTTTGAATATTGCGCCAAAGTGGGGTTGAGAGAGGGATTTCTTGGACTCAGTACAACATGTGTGCAGTGACTAATCAAGAACTCTATCCTATCTTTTGACCCAAGGATTTCGGCTATCTGATCTCAACTCATTTCATATAATCTTCAATGTACGCATGCCATTGTTATCATGGAAAGATAAGCCCTTAATCAGCTGTGAACCGCTGCACAATCTTTTAACATACACGGTTACATTTGAGGGTGATTAGGGTAATTCTCTCTTATTTCTTTTTTACTTTTAAAAAAGAAGTGATGCTACTTATCAGGGGTTAGATAGATAAAATCTCCTGTTGTTTGATGTCGACTGAACCCTAAGTTTGGATTGTGCGGCTTTTCATTGATGTGAGACGTGAAGTTTCAGATTTGTTGTGGATTGTCACACCCCAAATCCGAATGTGATGGCACGTGTCCATTTCCCACCGGACACGTCAGCCTAACCCAACCACAACGATAGAGAAGTAGAAATACGAGAATAAAAGATAATAAATAAGCGGAAGACTTTAATTAAGACTCAACACTACCCAAAATTTGGTTGTCACATGTACAAACCTCTAAATACAGAATTCAAATAAAAATATACAAGTCTCAGAGTATAGTTCTCGAATAGAACAAAATTGAAAGTAAAGATAACTCAAGGGCACGTCTGGAATGAACCGCTACCTCTCGAGTATGTCCCGAAGCTCAATCTGCTAAAGAAACTACTAAGTCGAATCTGAGAGAGAGCTGTCAACCTACACAATTGTGTAGAAGCAAGGGTGAGTACCGAAAACCACAGGTACTCGCAAGTAACTCTAAACTAAGCAAAACTAGCAGCTACAAACAACTCCTTTCAATCCCAATCGAACCACCGAAAGTTCAATCTAACAGCAAACCAACCAACCTATATTAAACATATCATATTCAACAGCCAGAACCAACAGTATATCCTCATCAACCTCAGATCAACAAATAAGAGCAAGTAGATCAAATTCCACATAAGAAGGGTAAATCGATACAATCCACACATCACAGACAAAGATAAGCCAAATGCGATGCAAAATGCAATAATGATGTCATGTAGTCGTGATGCATGTCTGTCCTACGATACACATCTGTTGACGTAATCAGTCCGCGCTGAATACTCAAATCAGAACCCATGGGGGCCACACATGAACCATGTATCACCGCCGGAACCAGATCCCATCGGCATCCAAATCGCTAGCCGGAGCTAGTCCATCTCATATATCTCTAGCCGGAGCTAGTCTCAACTGTGTCTCATATCCATCCATCCTCATATCAGTGTCTCAGAACTCATGCAACAGATAGTTCACACATGGGATGAATAATGAAGATGCACATGTCATCAATCACAATCATATCACGATCATATCATAGTATTACACATCATCTGTCTCAATCACAACCATATCACGACCACATCATAGTATTACACATCACCTGTCTCAATCACAACCATATCACGACCACATCATAGTATTACACATCACCTGTCTCAATCACAACCATATCACGACCACATCATAGTAGTACACATCACCTGTCTCAATCACAACCATATCACGGCCACATCATAGTATTACGCATCACCTGTCTCAATCACAACCATATCACGACCACATCATAGTATTACACATCATCTGTCTCAATCACAACCATATCACGACCACATCATAGTATTACACATCATCTGTCTCAACATCAATGTCTGTATCAATCATAGCCTACTCATGCTCTTCTATCCCCTCAATATCAGTTATCACATGACTTATTCAACAAATTCAAGTCACATATAACACATTTAGCTCGTTTTATTCCCCATCTTTCATTTACAACAATTACAATCAACAAATAAAACTCATCCTCAATCCCCATTACTCCCCAACACAATTAGGAAAGTAGTCATGCGTAGTCTAAGAGCTTTACAAAGTTTGGAAGCCACTTGCCTTAAAACGAACTCCAAAAGTTACTTGACTTGAGCCTTTCCTTTCCGAGTATAATCCGGATCACGATAATCTATTCAAACAATTATTCACAATCACAATTCGAGTCCAATGATACCAAAATCAAGAAATTTAGGGAAAAAGGGCAAAACGGTCCAAAAGTCTCATACCGGAAAACGATACCCAAATCTGGAAATTTTTTATGTAAAATGATCCTTTAAGTATTTGGAAGCTAATGGTGAAAACCAATTTGAAAACGGAGTTGAAATCAATTCACAAACTCAATTTGAAGGAAAATCCATGTTCTTGAAGAAGCCCAAAATATTCGGATCCGAAACCCCGACTCGAAAATGAAATATTTCTTGAAAAACATCTTACCCATACTTGGATAAGTTCAAATATGAAATTTCATCAAAAACGGAGTTAAGATCGACCTTGAAATTCTCAATTTATCGAACTTTAACTTTACCT